GAATATGGCATGAAATATTTATTGCATTTTACTTGTATTATCAGGTCATTGTCGAAGCGTAGTTTACACACGGTTATCGTATTCTACGCATTCACAACATGTTCACAGCGATCGATATTCACGCTGTATCATATAAAAACGATTACAAAGATTCGTTATGCAAGACCAAGTCTTAAATTAGTTGCATTTTGATGGGGTGGGCGCTTTGCCGAATGTGACCCCAAATATAAAAATTGTGCAAAAGTGGGGGATGGGCGCTTGCCCGGGCATGGGTGCTAACGCGGTCGAGTACGGTATTATGAGTGTCTTTTGTTGTTCTGCTTAAGCCTGCTTTACTTTTCAAAAATTCAAGATAGAAACACCAATCCTACTTCATTGACCTAAAGCACTAAATCATTGTTTGTCACATCCTGTTTTGTATGGTACCTACAGCAACATATGTAACACATATAAAATACATTGTTTACATGAAATTCAAACACATGTTCTGTGATAACTGATAGCATTTTAATCAATCTGCCCACACCACCAACAACTTTGACACAATGCTCAAGAGACTATATTTGTGGCCCTGCAAAGTTTAGAATGATGCAAAGTCAAACTTGTAGCATTGTTTAGTTGGTCAAACCAAGCAAAGTATCATAAATTAATACTTGCTACTATTAATAATACAAAATATAAATAACCAAAAATGACTGGAAAGATTGTTATCTTTGAATTAGGAGTTAGGCTTTCTAGAACAATGTTATGGGGATAACATTTGATACAAAAGTGGATATATAAGCACATGAATTGAGTTTCACTTTAAGTGTTTTGGCAAAATCATGTTCTTCAACATTGCACACTGCTATTTCTTAAAATGGATAATCACCATAATCACATTATCTCTTACCTGTCAGCTCTGCCAACACGACCAATGCGATGGACATAGTTAGACTTCTCATCAGGCATTGTAACATTAATGACTAAAATAAAATAAAAACAATCATTTTATTGTAATTTCTCTGCAAAGGTTGTAGTTGCCTTAAAAAATGGGGTCTACTGAAGTCAGGATATACTTACCAAAAGGAACTCCACATTGGGTCTACTGAAGTCAGGATATACTTACCAAAAGGAACTCCACGTACATCAATCCCCCGGGCAGCAACATCAGTACAGATCAGAAACCGAACTTTGTTGTCCTACATTTAAAATAAATAATATTTCATAGACAGAACACTCATTATTTTTAACACAATCACTTTTTTAGAAGTAAATCACCATGATGTAAAAATGTGATATGTTAGAAAAAACAGTGATATTTTTTTATATTTTATTTTGGTGATTCAAAATTGTGGAGAAAGTATTTAACACCTTTCATAGTCGTCAAAGCATACATACAGTGAAGTGCAATTTACCCGCTCATACCAATTCAAAATAAACACTGATTATTTTAAAGTAAAATGTTGTCATAGTGTTTCATGACTTGACAATCACATTTTTGACATTTTACAATCTACCACTCAAAGAACCATGTTGCACTGTGAAATTTATGTCAGTTTTCTCGTAAAAGCACAAACCAAATGGCCATTGTCAGGGCCAACATACACTTCAAAAAGAGAAGTACCATACAAATGGCCATTGTCAGGGCCAACATACCGTTACAAAAAGAGAAGTACCGTACAAATGGCCATTGTCAGGGCCAACATACACTTCAAAAAGAGAAGTACCGTACAAATGGCCATTGTCAGGGCCAACATACACTTCAAAAAGAGAAGTACCGATAC